GAAATGTGCAAGGTTGGCAAAATGCAAAGGGAGTGACAAGGAGAACTTTACAGGGTGGCTGAGTTGTCTGTGCTAGGGGAGCAAACAGCTCTGCATGGAATAAAGAGGCTAAAAAGCCTGGGAATACTTTACTCCCTGAGGATCAACACCTAAGTTCTCCTGCTAACGTTTTGGGAATACCTCTCAATATTTTTCCCTGAAGGAAATGTGGCAAAAGGTAAATGCAAAGGGAGTGACAAGGAGAACTTTACAGGGTGGCTGAGTTGTCTGTGCTAGGGGAGCAAACAGCTCTGCATGGAATAAAGAGGCTAAAAAGCCTGGGAATACTTTACTCCCTGAGGATCAACACCTAAGTTCTCCTGCTAACGTTTTGGGAATACCTCTCAATATTTTTCCCTGAAGGAAATGTGGCAAAAGGTGTTGGAGCAGCTTAAAACACTCCACTACCTTCAGGCTCTGTGCTCTCCTGGTGGGATTCCCATGGATCTGAGAGGGGGTAAGAGTTAACCCAAACCCCTTTTCTTAGAATAATTACAAATCTTTTCCAAGAGTTCCTTATCAAAATGGAAAATCACTCTTTGATCACATTGAGAATCATCACTAAGCTTGGAGGGGATCTCTGAGACCACCAAGTCCAACCTGAGCCCTTAACTTCCAGAGAAGAGTTTTTGCTGGGAGAGCTGCTAATCACCTGAGTGAGTGGGAAAGGGCTGGGAGCAGTGGGATGTGGCAGCCCAGGCCTGACCTCTGCCTGGCTCCTCCTCAGCTCTGAATTGCTCTGGGAGTAAAGGCCAAAGGTAGAGCTTTGAAGCAAGTGAGATGAAGCTCCATGGGAGCAGTGAGAAAGAGCTCTTTGTCCTGGGATGATTCTTTTTCCTGGGTATGACAAGCTGGCAGCTGGGAAACCATCTGCTTTTAAGGGTAGGACTCTGTGGTAGGATTTTCTCCCTGCTGGAAGGAATTGCTTTCTAGGGATCTTCCATCAATTGCTCTGAGAAGGTAACTCCAGGAATTTAAAAGTCTCAAATCCACATGGTGACAGCAAAATAATATTCATTTAGCTGTTGGTTTTTGGAATATTTCCTTCCACTCTTCCTTAATTCCCCGATTTGTCACCTTCCTGGTTTGCTCCCTAAAAATATTCCTCTGGAGAAGATTTCCTATTGACTTTAGAGGCTGATTTTGGTGCCTGTCTGTGGGATTTAAAGCAGTGCTAGGAGATTTCAGTGGGGAATTTTTACTGCCAATATCCCTCTTCCAAAAAGGATTTCCTTGATGACTGGGGGAAGCAGGACAAAAAACCAGGATTTAAAATCCAACTGCCTCTTCCTTGATTTAATCCTCTTGAAGCCTTTCAATGACTGTGTCCATGTCCTTTTGCCTATCCCAGTGGTAATTTAAGGAATGCTGCCAAGGATACTTTCAGTTTCTAATGCACAGAAAAGAAACTCTGATGTTCTGGGCACTAATTAACCAGGAAAAGGGAAGTGTTGGGAATAAAGCAGCAGTTCAACTCAGATCAGCAGCTGGAAGTAGAGTGGCAGTGCTGAAACCTGCCTGGATCCTGGTCTGGATGGAACCTCAGAGGAGCTGATAAAAACTATGGGATCTTTCCTTTGGGATATATTTCTCTGTGACAACTCTGCTGTTGTTAATGGCTCTTTCAGTGCAATATTTAGTGTAATAATCCCAATTTTCAGTGGTAGTAACTAGGTTGTAATTAGCTTCGAGTGGAACTGTGGATATTCTTTAAGAACATCAGCTGGTTGTCAGGTTTTCATCCCAAACTGGATTTCATTGAGGTAGTTTTGTAAGGTTTAGTGGAGTTTTCAGTGTTTTCTTGTCTCAACATGTGCCTAGAGGAGAACTGAAGAGCCTGAGCACCAAAGCATTACAAGTGGGGGCAGTTGCTGTGCAAACCTGGGCAAGAAAGGCTGAAAATGCTTCTATTTTGGTGAAAAAAAAAATGCAGAATTTAGAGCTTAGCCTGGGTGAAATTTGCAGGTGTTGAGTGGGGTGGGAAAAGAACTGAACTGGGGGTGGGGGGAAAAAAAAAGCCCCTTCAGGTGCCAAACACATGTGTGTTCCTGCAGCTGTTTGAGTGTGACTGTTGGGAACAAAAAGTCTTTGCTTTGTGATTGGAAAATGTGACGTTTTTCCCTCCCATTTCTTGGGATGAACTGGTGCTGGTATTAATAGAGGAAGGTGAAATCTCTCTTGAGGCTGAGCTGGACACAGATGAATGTTACTTGAAAGAGGGAAAACAGAAGTCACATCTGTACTGAGCTATTTTTAAATGTCTCTGGTTACTGGTGCAATACTCAGCACCAAAATTAGGGCTCCCTCAAAGCAGTTTCCATGCTGATTTGGTGGCTTGAGAAACCTTCTGTTTTCAGCTAAAAATAATTCCTAGATAACGGCCTAGTTGCACACTAACACTCTACTTTTCAGTACTCAAGTGACTCTGCTTCTGCCTCCTTTCACATCCTTTGCAGGAGCTGCAAAAACTCCTCCAAAACACCAAACTTTAGACTCTTGGAGCAGCTGATTTTGATTTTTTTTCCTTACAATGGGAAATCAGGAGCGAGGAGAAAGTTATTTTAGTGTGTGAATATATGAGTTGGGGTTGATTTTACAAACTCATCATATGCAGAACAGCTCAATCCCCAAGAAGCATCCCAAGAAGTTCAACAGCCACAGCTGAATTTACCTCCTGCCACTGGAACTCACTGGTGGGTGAATTTGCCAGCTAGAAAATCCCCCCCAAGCTGCTGTTTGCATAACTTTGCCTTTTGGCACGTTCTCAGCTGGCTCCTAAAGCAGGAGGGGATGACTTTTCTCCTGGCTGGGTGGGGGCAGAGGGTGCTGGGGCAGATAGAGAGCTCCAGGCTGTGGTGCAAACGTTTGGCAGAGGAGATAAAGGAGCTCCTCAGGGAGGTCCTGCAGCACCACCACATCACCCCCAAAATCTGCTGCCACTATTTTTAGCCCAGCAGCTTGCAGATCACTCATCCTTCCGTACAATCCGTGGCTCCAGCCTGGTTTTCTTGGCTTGCCTTTGGAAGAAGGGAAGGTCTGTTTGAGGGTAGGAAGGTGCTGCTCAGCTCTGGTTGCTTCTGGGAACATCCCTGTGGTTTAGCAGAGTGGCACAGACTCTCTGGCTTTCCAGAGCTTGTAGAAAACCAGAGCTGTAGACATTGGAGGTCAAAAGGAAACCACCCAAACCCCCTCCTGGAGCACAGTCATCTGTGCACACCACGAGCTGCTCTGCTGGGAGTTGGAGTCAATCTAAATCCCTGTGGCAGAGCGTGGCCTAAAATAGGCTGGAACTGCTGTTCCTTGTGTCTGCTTTTCTGGAAAGCATCTTAATTATCTGATATTGATGAGATAGTAGAGCTCAGGCACTGACATTGATCTTGGATGCTTGAGGGGAAAGTTTCCCTTTGGAAAACTTGAATGGCTAAGGGGGGAGACCCAGCAGTGCAGAATAGCTGAGGTGGAGGGGGGAGAACCATGAATACAGAAGGGCTGAGGAGTTGTCTGCAGAGCACACTTAATGCTTGATTAAATATTTAATTTAGCAGCAGCGTCACACTCTACTGTGAGCCATGAAATCTTGTTATGGAATTATAATTTCTTAAAAAAGAATAAGCATGCTACCTAGTGACCTGCCTGGGACTATGTTTAGTGCTGCATCACTAATTCTGAAGGAACAAACCTCAAGTGCTTGCAGTGAAATAGAGGAACTGTGGGAGCAGGTCTGTTTGGAGGCTGAATCAATAGAACTAGGGCAGATTGCTAGGACAAGGCTGTTGTGGGCTCAGTTTGGGAGGCACAAGGCACCAGCTCAGCTTTGTTGTGGCACAGACATCTCTATCTTCAGCTGCTCTTCCTCCCTCTCTTACCTTATCCTCCCACTGCAGACAGCAGGGCTGACTCAAATTCTTCTCACAGCCTCTTGCTCCTCATCCTCTCCTGCACAGTAATCCCTGTGCTTTACTCCCAGTGGGTTGCAAAATGCCTAAAAAGGATCACGAGTGCAGGAAAAGTGGATTCTGTCGTTGCCTGGGGCACCCAAGTGACCAATGTTTGCCCTTTCCCACCAGCACATCGCGATCCCGAGGCCTGACCGACCAGCAGAAGTGAGGACCTTCACCTTCTATCTCTCAAACATTGGCAAGGACAGCCCCCAGGGGAGCTTTGACTGCATCCAACAGTATGTGTCCAGGTGAGTGGTGCAGCCAGAGGAAATCCAGCAGGAAATCCAGCCTGTTTCACCTTCTCTCCATAGCACCTTTTCTATGGCAAACCTCAGTAAAGTTTAATCTTCCTTTTTAGTCTTTCTAATCCTTTTGCATGTGTGTTTTTTTTGAGGTGAGGAGACACTCCCAGATGTTCCCTCAGCTCCTCTTTGTCCCCCACACTTAGCTAACACCCTCCCCTAGTCATCCCCCAGTGCCAGAGAGGTTTGCACAGTGAGAAGTATCTTTTCCATTGCATTTCTCTTGCAGCAATGGCAATATCCATTTGGATTGCCTGGGAAGCATACAGGATAAAATCACCGTGTGTGCTACTGATGATTCCTACCAGAAGGCAAGGCAGAGCATGGCCCAGGCAGAGGAGGAGACTCGCAGCCGGAGTGCTATAGTCATTAAACCTGGGGGGAGATATGTAGGTAAGCAATAACTCAACTTGGGGGTGTCTTCACCAAGTGCTGGAGTCAAGTGCTGGTATTGTTTGACCCTGAAAGTCTTTCACCACTACTTGGTGGTTTCTCATGGGTGTGTGAATTTAGGCTGCTGCTCTTGTGTTGTTTTCTTCACTGCTTTCATCACTCCCCCCTAGATGCTGTTGTCCCCCCTCTGAAAGCTGTGGCTGCTCCATCTTTGTCAGTGTTTTCCTGACTCCCAAGTGACTTGTCACATGTTCTTAGCAACAGGGACTCTTCCCACAGTAGGAAAACTGAGCATGGAGTGCTAGGATAAGGGGGAATGGCTTTAGAGGGACAGAGGACAGCCTTAGATGGGATTTTGGGAGGGAATTCCTCCCTGGGAGGATGCTGAGGCACTGGAATGGATTTCCCAGAGCAGCTGTGGCTGCTCCATCCCTGGGAGTGTTCCAGGCCAGGTTGGATGGGGCTTGGAGCAACCTGGGCTAGTGGAAGGTGTCCCTGCCCATGGCAGGGGGTGGAACTGGATAAGCTTTAAGGTTCCTCCCAACCCAAACCATCCTCTGGAGAAGAGAAGGTTGTGTGGAGACCTCATAGCACCTTCCAGTATCTGAAGGGGCTCCAGGGAAGCTGGAGAGGGACTCTGTGTTAGGAACTGAAGTGGTAGGCGAAGGAGGAATGGGGATAAATTGAAAGAGGAGAAATTTTGATTAGATATTAGGAAGGGTTTTTTTTACTGGGAGGCACTGGCACAGGTTGCCCAGAGCAGCTGTGGCTGCTCCATCCCTGGGAGTGTTCCAGGCCAGGTTGGATGGGGCTTGGAGCAACCTGGGCTAGTGGAAGGTGTCCCTGCCCATGGCAGGGGGTGGAAC